GAATACTGTGCTCTGTTATCCATCTTAATATCCCCTGAAACAGGCTTCTTTGGCTCCCCCTGCAGTAATTACATCCAGTTCGTTTCTAAAGTGCTGCCATCTGCACCTTCTTATTTTGGGGTGTCCGCATCCCATTGCTACTAGGGATCCAGTTCTGCAGAAGCATCACCTACTTCAGCCCCTGCCTGTCGAGGAGAGAGATCATGGACTTCTCAGTGATGCTAGTATGGCCCTCCCTAGCACATCCATTCCCACCTTAGGACAAGAAATGCTCCCTGGATCTGCCCTAGGAGATCCAACATAATCAACTGTTGGAATTTTGAAATTACTTACTACAGGAATTGGCAAAGTTTCTCTGTAAAAGGCCAGATAGTAAATTAGGTTTTGTGGGCCATATGGTCTCTTGCAAAAATCCAACTCTACCATTGTAGTGGGGAAGCACTATAGATAATATTTAAATGAATGAATATGGCTTTGTTCCAATACACCCTCATTTATAAACACTAAAATTTAAATTCCCTGCAATTTTCATGTGTCATGAAATATTACTTATTCTTTTTTTCTCCCTAATCACTTGAAAATGTAAATACAATTTTTTGCTTGTGGCCTGTACAAAAACCAACAGTGGGTCAGATGTGACCCAGGGGCCTTAGCTTCCCCCATCCTGATTTTGGTAGGTTCATTGTATCATTCTCCTTTTTCTGAGCATTTTGTTTTCTTCTTGCACTGCCGGAGCAGTGTTAGCATCTCCATTGAAAACAGTATACTCTTACTTTTCTCCTGTGGCCCTCGTGAAGGTGTGAAATCTTGTGTCATGAGATATGTGCCCATGTTGGCAAATTAGCCTTTATCTAGTCTCCATATTCTCACTCACCCCAGGTCCATCACTTTTGGGATTTACTCCCAGGCAAAAATCTCCTAGTTCCTGCTAGTAGTACATTTAAGCCGAGTCCTTTTCTGAATAACCTTTCCCTTTCCTTAGCAGAACCATCACTTCCACCATTAGTGTAGAACAACATTTTACCCTGTCTGATGGTGGAGGTAGAGGCAGATCCGAGCAGGGATTATATTCTATCAGGGAAAAGGGGACCCCTTCTGCCGCTCCTGATGGTGCAAGTGAAGCAGGTGGTTCAAGGCTCTCATTTGCACCTACCCAGAGGTCTACCTCCCAGGATTCAGAGTCTCCTCCTTTCCTATTAAGACCTTGGTTTTGGCATGAAATCATTGCCCAGTCTGTGAGACCTTTGAGGTTCTGTCACTCTTAACAATTAACTCCTGGGCCTGGTCTTCAGCTGCTGAAGACGAGTGTCTCTTTAGATGCTGCCAAGGAAGAGCTTTGACTTCCACACTTGGTTGGAAGTTGGTGATGTGTCTGAGCCTGTCACTTTCTCTGTTCAGTGTATCAGAGGACCTTATCAAGATCCACTCACTCCCAGAGTCCTAAGAATTTCTGTTCACCCCATACTTCTCAAATACCAGAGTTGGTGCACCAGCTCATAGTTCCCTTCCATCTGGGTCTCATCCCATTTCTTCACAAGTCTTGGAGTCAGTTTTGCCTTCACTGAGAAGTATGCCCTCCCCAGTCACCTCCCTATGGCTACATTGCAGCATCCTTCTCAGGAGCAACTGGGGAGAATGATTTACTGGGATGGGTCCTCAGATGGAGGGTAGTGAAGGGAACAATATAGGGTAAGGAAATAAAGCTCAGCATGAATGTGACCTCAGCTTGAGGCTTGACTGAAGCAAGAATTATATTCAAAGCTGGTTGCACGTTGAAGGAAGGAGCTGGCCTTTTGAAAACCTGCGTCAGCTAGTCAATGACCACTGACTGCTCACCAGGAAAGGCCAAGAGCAGCTCACCAGAGAAGAGGCAGCTATAAGCTCACAGCCTAATGCTCCCAGTTTCTGGGGAATGGAAGAACCATTCAGGTGTAGGAATCTGAGCATGACATCAATGACATTTCCTACAGACTCTAGAAGCCAGCAGGTTGCACTCTTTGGGGTCTTAGTCTTTGGAATCAGGCAGAATTAAGTTTGGGTCCCAGCTCCTCAGTAACTTCAGTAGCTGAGCCACTACTAAGCCTCATCTGTAAAATCTGGATAATTATGGCTTTCCCTTATAAAGATGTGGGAAAACTTTAGTCAAACAATTCATTTAATAAGGCATTTGGCATTTTTTACTGGCATGTATTGGTAACCATTATTTATTAGGTTCTTATAATTATTATAAATTTTATTTACCACAGTACTTCGTAATACCTTGTGTTCCAAACTGTTTACAGTCTATGGATTTAATATGAATAAATGTTTTAGGCTAAGCAGATACTGGGAAAAGTGCCCCTGGGGGGTGAGAGCAAAGAAAGGTATCTATGTCCAGATCCTGTGCAGTGGCTCAGCCAACCAATGTGTTCACTCTCGCATTCTCCTCGAGGCCAGTGTTTGTCCTAGAGGGACTCAGCTGCCATTTCTCCTGCTCCCTTTGGTCCTCTAGGACAACATCAATGCATTAATCCCAGACCTATTTTTTATACCAATTATAATTATAGATCCCTCACAGAGGACAGAATGGAAGTGGAACAGCTGAGGGACCCAGCTCAGGAATATTTGCATTTCTCAGAGGACTTTTGGAACTCAAAATAGTTTTAAGATTAAAAGGCAAGGGTGGCCATTCTTACCAAGAATACATAAGCATAAAAGGTCATTATTAATTCTTTGAGAAAGAATTAAGGGTTCATATTTTTAAAATGGATTGGATTGCATCAAGGGATGTAGTAGTTCTTTTACATACAGCATGAGCACTGATAACCATCTTCTTCATATTTATGTTAAGGTTTAGCAACTTCTACTGGAAAGGAGTGATCACTGATGTGTCTATGTGCTTCTGAGACCATGGCGTCTCTAGGTCCAACTCCTTCCGGCCTGCAGTGAGTCACCATCCCTCATTATTTTTTCCCTTTATTTTATTTATTTATTTTTATGTGGTGCTGAGGATCGAACCCAGTGCCTCACATGTGTGTGGGAGGCACATGCTCCACCACTGAGCTGCAACCCCAGCCCACCCTCCCTCCATCCCTGATTTTTGACATTTGTTCATTGTGCCCATCCACACAGCCTTTACCCTCCCTCTCAGCCTTGCAACCTATATTTGTGCCCTGCTGGGCTTGACACTAGATGATGCCGGGGACAGTATTTCCCACCTTGGAAGCAGTGGTTGTGGGCAGAAGGAAATTCGGTGTGCATTTGTTGCTGTTATTTTCCAAGTCTGTGTGGCTCTTTGTGATTCTGTCATTCAGACATATGGTGGGGTCGGTGACCTGCATTACAGCACTCTTCAATAAGGCCGAGGGGGTGTCATCTTTGCACTGAGATGTCAATAAGCATTTCTTTTGTCATCCTACTTGTGCCTGCTGGTCTTCAATTTCCTTGTCTTAACACAACCTTCACCTATGATGCTCTCACATGGAGGTAATGGCTGACTTCACATCCCTGATTTTACTAAACAAATGCCACTGTTCTGCCCTAGTGTCCCATAAGTACAATTGTAGTTGGCTGGTCATGAGACTCTGCTTTGATTTAGAAAATCAGGTTCTTTTAGACATGAGACTGTAGAAGTGTGTGTGTGTGTGTGTGTGTGTGTGTGTGTGTACACGTATGTGCCCGGGGCCTGGATCTGCATTTCAGTCCCTAAGACACATATCAAGCATTTGTTAAGGGCTCTGAGGTTGCCAAGAAGAATAGAGCCAGACCCTTCCTTCAGTGACCTCACATTTTGGAACATGGAGAAGATAGAAGGATAAACAGATAAATCTAAGACAGCATTGAATGTTACAAGAGAGAACACCATATTCCAGCTCACAGGATGAAGGGGGTCAGAGAAGGCTTCTTGATAACATGCTGCAGAGCTGAGTTGGGGAGAATAAATAGAACTACCTGGGAATGCACAGTGGGCAGAGCAGTACACAAAATTGGGAGGCAAGAAAGAGTGTTTGGCACTGTGCAGCTGTGAGAGGAGAAGCTGTTTGGCTGAGGAGAAAGCATGGCCTGGAATCAGACTAAGCAGGGTCAGTGCAGGATTCATGCTGAGGCACAGAGCTTCCCCTTGTCCTTTCTAGTGCATCCCAAAGTAGACATGATAGAGTGGTTTCTGAGTTCCACTCATGACCTAGTCCAAGTGGGGCTCAAAGAAGATTCTTAATAAGTGGTAGCTCTCTGGCATCTAGACCCCAAGAATTGGGGTATGAGGCAGGAGAGGAAGCTGGAAAGGTGAGTGTGACCAAGTCACAAAGGTGTTTTGGAGGAATCAGTCTCCGGTGGGGAAGGTTTGAAATTATGGATATTCTTCCCCAAAGAATGCATCTTAAAATAAACTTTTAAAAATGTTTTATTAGTTATTGATGGACCTTTATTTATTTATTTGTTTATATGTGGTGCTGAGAATCAAACCGAGCGCCTCCCACATGCAAGGCAAGTGCTCTGCCACTGAGCCACCACCCCAGCACCCTAAAATAAACTTTTTAATGCAATTTAAGGGTATTTGCAAATGCCCTAAAGTCCTACTGTGCATGCCAGATGAAGCACCCCTCCTGTAGGTAGTGGGTGCTATTGAAGAGACTTACACAGATGTATGGATGGATCCAATTTTCATGTTCACAATATTACTGCTGGTGGCTGTGTGAAGTTGGGTTAGAAGTAATAGGGAGTCTAGAGTCAGGCGGGTATGAAGTGCAGTTGGCAGAGAAGACCAGAAGCAGAAATGGAATAAAGTTGGATGGGTTTTATGTATGATTGGAGTTCAGCATTAGCTTCCAGGTTTCTGGTGCCATAAATCAGAATAAAAAATGTAGGGGCAGGAGCAGTTTTTTTTTGGGAGGGAACATGATGGTTTCTTCGGGACAAGATGAGTCTAAACTTGCCATCACCAGCCAGTGATGCCCACTTAGCAGGTGGACATTTTAGAATACCATTTCCATATACTCACTTTTTAATTTGTTTGTTTCTAGAAGACATCTTTCAGAATCCCTTCGGCGGAAAGCGACCTCAGGAGATCACCCCCTGCAAGCGACCTCAGGAGATCACCCCCTGCACGGCAGGAGTGGAGCCCCAGCATCTCCTCGTCCCCTGGAAACTATGTACTGGCAGGAGCTACCCCCGCTGGCCTCTGCAGTGTGCAGAGGGAAAATGACTATGCTGAGCCTCATGACTACTTTAATGTCCTGAGTTACAGAAGCCTGGGCAGCTTCAGCTTCCTCACAGAGACTGGTTAGCAATCCGAGGCATCTCCCGGGAGATATGTTCCTGGCTTTGTATTATGGATGGATGTGTAAGCCTCTGTTCTCTCCATCAATCCTCTCTCTCTGTCTCTGTCTCTGTCTCTGTCTCTCTCTCTCTCTCTCTCTGTGTGTTCACTTGAGTGAATAGATGTCATCCTCTTCTCCATCTTTACTTCCTTTGTCCTTCCCTTACATTCCCTTATTGCAGACCAGAGGTGAATAACTTGCATCTTGGTCATGAATGTGAATTTAAACAAAACAGAACAAAACAAAAACCAAAAAACACACACACCCCAAAACCCTTGACCTGGCTTTGCATCTAGCATTTTGAGCAGACCCTGTGACTCCAAGAAACACACTCCTCATGATAGTGCCAGACAGGATTTTGTGCTCCAGGGTTTGTGGTAGATGATGATAATGAGACAGGTACAAAGCCACCCTTGTATCATTTCTCCTTGTCATTTTCATAAATATTCATTCATTCAAGGCAATTTATGAATGAAACATAGATACCAGCCTCTATGGTGAAGCTCAAGGGTGACTAAACCTTGTCTCTGCCCTTAGGAACATACAGTGAAATAGGGAGACAATATTTATATTAAAATGTTATAAGGAGATGAAGACACAGGATGCAGGTTTTCAGGAAGAGATGTCGGTTCTGGGTGAGGTGTTAGCGTGGGTTTAGCTGTGGTGAAGTGGCTTGGGGTACAAAGGGATCAATGAGGCTGGACTGGTTGTGGAGGTCAAGTTTTGTAGGGAACAGGCAGGAACTAAAGTCTATGCAGGTAAAAGTTCCAGGCACCAACCAAGGCACCTCAGATTTTATTCTCTGGACAGGGATTCAAGTCTCCTTTTTTTTGTGTGATATATTCAAAGTCCGAATGTGATGGCCTCATACAGAGGACCCCAGGCTCTTTCAACCCCATGTGCTGGGAAGCCCCCAGGCAATATGTGTCCACTGAAGAAACTGAGTCCTGGCATCTGGGTCAAGATACACCTTTTCTGGACCAATCTACCAGTGATCCACTGAAAATAGAACCTGTTTCCCACCAAAAGGAAAAATCTGGGTAAAGAGGGGGTAGATAAGAGTATGTGGGTGATAAAAGGTTTCAAAAGTAAACACCATTAAACTGGCTTCTTTGAACACTTTTATCTACTCCCGACTTCTTTGTGTCAGGGGTGGGGCATCTGAGCAGTTCATTTCTGTTGAACTGTATTTAAACCAAATTTAAAAGACTTGATCCTTCTACCAACTCTTCGAGGGAATTACCAGTGAATGATTTCCTTTCACGGCACTGGAATTGAGAGAGACTGTGAAACAAGGCTGTCTCTCATCAACGGCTAAAACAAAGAAACAGCCTGGGGTTAAACAAAAAGACAGTTCAACTCCTATTCCTCCTTATATTTGTATTTTTCTCACCTTCCTTCCAAATGGGTTTGTAGTCAGAAGCAGTGGATTGAAATCTGTCCCAAGCTCTGGTCCTTTAGAAGAGAGATAAGTATAAAATGCTGTTGTTTTCTGTGGCAATTCACAGTATTTTTCTTGCAGAACCAGGAATGAAAATTGGTTGGGAGTAGAACACAATTCATGAATTAGAGATGAACTAAAATGAGATGACAGAGAGGGAGTGGTGCTTCGATTTGGAGGAGCTGTATATCAAGCGAAGGTTGGACTGAGAGTTGGTCCTTACTTAACATAGTTTTGGTCATTGGGAGATATTTCCAAACCATTGAGATGGTGATAAAATTCCAAAGATGTTGGAAATGGTCAGACTACCAAATGAGATTCAGTTGGATAGAAAATCAATTTCAAAATATAATTCACTAAACTAGATTGTCCTCTGAGAACACAATCCCCTCACAGATTCCTGGGGACATATGATGTCTAGGACAGTAGCCATTTTCCATGTGTAGCCGTCCGCTTTTGAGGGAGGTTAATCCAACCTGGGATGAGCTGTGCGCATAAAACACATGCCCAATTTTGAAGACAATAAGAATCATAAAAATATAAACTATCTCATTTGTAATTTAAAAACATCGATTACATGTCAAAACAATAACATTTTGGATTTATTGGGCTAAATAAAATGTATTATTAAAAGTGATTTTTTGTGTTTCCTTTGGTTTTTTAAATGCGGCTCCTGGGAAATCCACAAATGCATATGTGGCTGCCATTATATTTCTATTGGACTCTGCAGCTCTCAACTCTAAACCCAAGCCATGCTCATTTCGGGGAGGGTATCTATCCATGTCAGTTGTCTCTGTCTCTTATTCAAAATAGTGTTTGGCGAAGCTTTTCCCTCTTATTGTCTTCTGAAAAGTACAGAGGGAAGGATCACAAGGGAGATTGAGGGAGGGGACCACTAAGGGCTGACAAAGACGTCCCAACATCTCCTGAATTCCTCTTGGGATCCATGACAGGAAGTGAGAAGAATAAATGAATGAATGAGAGTTCAGGAAGTTATGCAGTTACTGATTCCCTGCTGACATTCTGAGCCTGGGCTTATAGAGTATGAGCTATAACCCAGAAAATCATACTTAAAAGATGTGAGAAATTTCACCATGGAACTTTGAGATAGATGGTCTTCAATGTGGACAGTACCTTATCATAATACAACTTTGTTTCAAAACTTGTTTCTTCTCATTCTCTGAGCCCCAGAAATAAATGATCACACACTTATGTTTATACAGAGGCCATTTGATCAAGACCAAGTATTAAGTCAAAAGCAGGCTGTGCATTTATTTTCTTCCAGCTCTTCCCAAAGCTATCTGAGGTAGCTTAATGGTCCAACTCATGTAAACAAGGCTGAGATGGACAGGCAGGAGGCTGTGTATGCTAAGTGGGAATGAAAGTATTCTGGAGAACTCATCATGCCCCACAGAGAGGAGACAATATACAGCTTGGCTGTGGTGTGGCTGCCTACTGTGGTGTGTGAGTTTTTTTCAGTCGTCTGATTCTTTCCAGTCCTGCTTACTGAGTATAGTAGTAGTCCCCCCCCCCCACACACACACACACAAACTCCAAAGCACAACTGTCAAGAGGCCCAATGGAACCTTATGTGTGGCAAAAGCCCACGTTTCTGGAAGTCAGAACATACTTGATGTTTGTGAGAATTATTTGCATAAGGTAGCATATAGGATGGTGGTGTCCAGTAGAACTTTCTATGATTCTAGAAAAGTTCTATGTCCATGCTGTCCAATATGGAAGTCACTAGCCACATGAGGCTATACGAACTTGAAATCTGGCAAATGTGACAAAGGAAATTCAGTTAATTTTAACCAACTAAAATTTAAATGTAAATAATGACACAGGACCGGTGGATAGGGATATCACAACTATAGTAACTACCTTGCATATGGAAGAAACACAGATAGCTGTGTTTATAGACATTTGATGATTCGACAGTTGTTAAGCTTTTAACAGGGTCACTACCAGGAAGAGACATCAAAATTCCCTTATTCTTCTGTGTCCTTTCTCTGATCAAGACAAAGTATGAAGTCAAAAGCAGGCTATGCATTTATTTTCTTCTCGCTCTTCCCAAAGCTATCTGAGGTAGCTTAATGATCCAGCTCCCGTAAACAAGGCCAGGATTGTTGGGAAGTTTGCAATTCAATGGAGTTAGCAGGAATAGACTTTCACCACAGGACAGTAGTCATTCTGATTTCATGTGGGTTGTAAAGAACATCTTTTCTGGAACTAAAACTCTAATAGATTATATAGAGATCAAAAAGAAACCACACAGTATATTGGACTAGAAACTGGACTACTTGGTCCAAGTACTGATCTCTGCAGTTTAGCTTCATGAGTTTGGATGAGTTAACCTTTCAGAGTCTCAGTAACTTCATTTGTAAAATGGTAATCATTATACCTACTTTATAGGGTTTTTTAAAGGATGAGGTTAAGAATGTGGTTGACTGCTTTGTAAGCTATAAAATGCTTCGTTAATAATTAGTATTGTAATGTGAGCCATGGGCATGTGCATTGTTCATGCTATAGAAGTTTCCAAGGGGCAACAAACCTTTGGGGAATAACCAAGGAATCTGGAATCAATGTCCTTAAAACCTGGGACTTAAGGAAACCTAAGAGTTTCACATAGAGCATGGGTTCTAGAGGCACCTGTAAGCATTTACAAATTTTGTGTTTTAAGTGAGATGATGATCTTTAAAAAAAAAGTCAAACATATCTTGACTATCGATGGACTTCTTATAACAGGGTGCTGCATTGTTTTCAGTCTCTGTGTTTATAATCAAGTTGATTTCAAGGTGCAAAGGCTTCATTCATAAATGATTCACTTGCTATAGGTGGTTGGAGCAGTGAAAGATTTTGCAGTAGTTGACATACTGAGAAAGTGCAGGGAGGATTGTCTTCACTTTGCACACTGTGGAGGAGGGATGCTGAATTCAAGAAATATGTCAAGCTAGCAGCACACTTTGTGAGCTGTGATGGAGTCAGCAAAGCATCATCTAAAGCATTAAATTAACTTTATTGAGAATGTAATTAATTTTATAGTTTTACTTGTGTTTATTTTGTAATTTAGGTTATTAAATTCTGTTTGTGCTATAAGAATAACAGGTTTATCTGATATCACCTTTGAGTCAATTTAAGAATATTTATAATAAAAATATAATTATGCATTATATTATTAATTTATTAGTAAATAACAAAAATAATCAAACTTCCTCCCATGAGTTCTTGGAGAAATTTTTTTCCTAGGAGTATATGTATTTCTCAAGTTTAAGAAATACTGGGGTGTGTAACTACCATTGGATTTCAGAAGAACCTTGGTTTAAACTCTATTATATTAATTGTTTTACACTGGCAAAAAATATTTCTGAACCTCTGTCTTATAAGTTGATATAATAATAGTTCCCTTACAATGTTCACAGTGTAATTATGACTATGGATGAAATTATAAACTATTATTAATTTATTCAATTATAAATGATTACAGTGCCATTTGAATAGTGTATGCATTATTTACAATGACCATAGCCCATTCCTAGACCACACCATGATGTGTTCATGTGTAGAACAGGTTTCCAGAGGTCTCTTTTGGAATTCTCTGCAGGCCCCTGAGCTCAGATCTGGAGATTGTTGTACTCCTCACACTAGGGGAAATGGCTGACCACACTCACTTCCTCCAACTCAAAGCCTAATGTCCTTCTGAGTCACCAAACTAGATTGTTTATTACTTAGACACGTCCTTGATTTACTCTAGCCATTGTCATCTTTTGTTATTTTATAAATTCCCATGGCACTGAGCGTCTGAGAGTATAATATACCTCTTGATTTTATATGAACCTGTATTTCTAGCTGCTAGATCTTAAGGTTTATTAGAATGTAATAATTTCTTCCTTTGCATTCATGCACTGCATGGTGTTGAGTGAAATACAGGTGCTCAATGGGTTGTCTTCACCAGAAACAAATAAAGATGTGTTTGCCTCCTCACATTAGCAATTTCTATGAGAACAGGGAGACTAGAGAGCACCTATGGGGACAGTCACATATAGGAAAGGGTGTAGGGAACAAATAGGAGTCTCTTAGTCTCTTAAATCTTGGAATAGAGATATACTTTGTGCCATAATTTTTCTATTTTGCATATAGATCCAAGAACCCCAAAAGATAAAAAGGAGGCTCTGTGATAGATTCTCAGCATAACAGTGATAAGGGGACATGAGGATAGGGGGCATAGTGCCATGTGGGATTGGTTATTTCCACAGCAGATAGATGCTGGTTTTAATGTGAGAAAAGACAAAAATGTGAATGGGTTTATACAGTAGTAAATGAGACTTGTCATCATTTTGAAGTTTGGACTGGTGTAGGATGATGCCCAAATTTGTCTCGTATTTTCCCAAAGTGAGTTCAATATCACCAGTCCTGTGATTCCTACTGCTTGTATCAAGAGGACTGATATGTTGATTTATTTTTTTTTTGACCTTCCAGGTACAGTCCTCTATTTGCATAATCTCAGACTATAGCTAGACCCCAAAGTATAAAAAACATGTGGAGAGCTGCCCCAAACAGACATTGCCACGGCCACCACATGAAGAAGGCACCAATGGAAACCAGGAGAAGAGTTTTTTTTTTTTTTTTAATTATTCCTTCATATTCAAACTTCACAAACAGTGTGAACTTGTACAATACCTCAGAAAGTGAAACTTACAAAAAAAGTGCTGGTAACATTTAAAAAAAAAACAACAAAACCCCAAAAAACAAACATCATTCTTAGCAACATCAATTACTCTTCCACACAAAACAGAAACCTTGTAAAATTTATTTTTGTATTTTTAAGGCGTAATACTTCCGTATAAAGTATATGCAAGAGATAAAACTTCACAGTATTCCAAAATGTCACAATAATAATAATAATATAATAGTATAATGAAGCGCTACAGTTAATTTTTCTTTTTTTTTTTTTGAATGTTTTTTTCCTGTTTAAATAACAAATACAAGTCACAGGTAAATATACGTGAGAAAAATACGAGGCTAATATTAAATGGCAGGTAAGGATACTGTCACTGTAAGAAAAAACTGGCAGGATGTGTGTATTTAGTCTATATTTTAAAGCACTTGATAGAAAAGGCGTATGCAAGGTTTTTCAAAACAATTTTTTTTCTGTTTGTTTGTTTGATAACTGACGACAAGTTAAGAGTATAATGAGAAAAAAAAAGGAACAAACTCCCTCTCAAAACTATTGACCTGCTCATCCCAAACCATGTACATATTGATGGATGGATATGTGAGTCCATGGATTTATACAGCACACAGATTGGTACCAGCAATGTTCCATGCCCGCCTGCAAAGATTGAAGGGTAGAGTCTGCAGTCATTCAGCCCAGCCTCCTCTTAGGAAATTATTCTTTCAATTTAAAGCTCTCTTTCCTTTCCTCTCTTTCCAAACTCTTCCCCAATTCGTTGGTGTTCAGTCTGAAAAGACATTCTGATTAGAAAAGTTTCCCTCCATTCAAAATGCACTGGGAAATGGAAGCTGCATATACAGTGCCACCCACACGGACATTGGAAATATCACTTGGACAAATGAATTGTGTGTGTGTGTGTGTGTATTTTAGGTCTGAATATACAGTGTGTGTGTGTATTTTAGGTC